GTCTCTCTGTCTCTCTCTCTCTCTCTCTCTCTCTCTCTCTCTCTCTCTCTCTCTCTCTTTCTCTCTCTCTCTCTCTGTTACTGTCTCTAAGATCATGTCAAAGTTTGAATGTTTGGTTCCTTAATCTACGGCGTGCACTTTATGCTTTACGTAAAGCCGAAATAGTTTCTGAGAGTTCTAGGGTCTATTGGGGAAATTACTAAAAGTAGTAACGTGCATGAATCTTGTTGTTGACCCAGGATATAAATGCACCTTATACAAAAGCTATTTACCACTGTTTTAACTTTTTAACAAAATCAAGACACTATGCAATCAACATTCCCCCCATCGGTGGGTGGTTGGCGGGTGCACGGGTGTGGCTCGCTCCTTTCTTCCTGTTAAACATCTGTCGTCCATATCTCCCCTCCTTCTTTTTTGTATTTTGCTACTCTCTTGTGACACCTCCGATCTTCGGCACTTATATGGCCTTATCATATTGCAAGTGGTGCAAAACTCTTACCAAAAAAAAACTTTTCCCCAACTGCCCACAGGATCTGCTGAAGAGAGGGCGGCTGTTCTGAAGGCCAACCAGCTGGCGTCCACGAGAGAGAACGTTTACGACAGAGTGGCAAAGGTTAGTGGCGCTCTCAGGGGAGAAGCGTCTACATAACGAAATTAATAATCACTGCTTCCTTTCAATACTTTTTGGGAACATCGTCGTAGTCAAATTCTCCAATAGTCTTAAGCCTTACAGATGTAAATCTAAAACCCCTGTTCCCCCCGATCGGGCCACTCGCGTAAGCAGTCACAAGCCTTGGTTTTAAACTAAACTAACTATCAGACTGTTAGAGTCTACTTTAAAACGAGGGATGGGACTACCTCTTGGCTACTATGAGTGTCTTTCCTTGACTTTTGTAACCGACCGATAATCAGGCCTTGTTATGTGTATGACAAATTGATAACAGTATTGTCACCTCTGCTTTTTGGCCTTCTGTTTGTATACTCGCATTTGTTAATAAAATTTGCTACAAAAAATCTAAAGACTATCTTGCCTGTCCTAGGTCTAAAAGTTATAATTGCATTTTGCCCAAACTTGTAAGAAACGTTGAATGATATATACTTTAAAAAAATCATTTTGGTGAATATATATAAATTAAATCATTCACAACTCTGTGATGCCGTTCGATTAAGAAGTGTGGTCAAATGTTCCCATCATTTAATTTGTTTGAACCATTTTGGGTTTACAAAAAGCTAAGCATAACCCAATTTTCCTGTCATTTTTTAAAACTTGCGTTTAATCGTACCTATTCTCCTTATCACCTGATTAGACATTCTAACCTCTTTTTAAAATAATTCCTAGGATGTCGATTTTGAAGTGGAGCAGGATGCGGCCAATACGTGGGTCGGTGAAGACTTCAAAGTGGCGCTCAAATTCACCAACAGAAGTGACGAAGAGCGCACAGTGAGCGGCCGACTTGTCATCAAGACAATGTTCTACACAGGCGTGCCTGCAGAAAAAATCGTCTCTTTCCCCTTCGAAAACAAGGTCCTGCAGAGAGGAGCATGTGAGTCTCGGGCTGCTCTATAGCATAAACCACTTTGGTCTTTCTGGTTTATTTTCTATTTATCTATTTATCTATTTATCTATTTATTTATTTATTTATTTATTTATTTATTTATTTATTTATTTATTTAGTACATTGTACTTTTTTATACATTTATTCATACCTTTATTTATTCTTTTGGTATCATCACCACGACTACCACAACCACCACCACCATCATCATCCCCACAACTACAACAATACTAAGAAGAAAAAGAAGGAGAATAAGAAGAAGAAATAATGATAATAATGATAATGATCATAATAATGATGATAATAATAAGAAGAATAAGAATAAGAATAAGAATAA